TTCAGACAATGTCATTGCCAGAGAAAGTCTTTATTTCATCAAATATTAACCTGCATCATTGCACTTCACTTTGAAGTAGAAGCGTCCAGGTGCTGAACTGCTGCAGTCCAGACCTCTTACCAAAAAAAAAAAAAAAAAGCATTGTCGCCTCCTGGAACAAAAAAGTCCAGCAAAGACTTGTGAATATTGAACAGCTGAAGCCCAACATAAGTCATTCCCCACCAAAACTCCAGCAGCTGCTCTCCTCAGTTCTTAGATGTTTACAGACTGTTGTTAGAAGAAGAGGGGATGCTTCACAGTGGGGAAACCTGGCTCTGTTTTTAGACATTTGTTGCCATCAAATTCCAAATTACTTTATTTTCTCCCCCAAAATGGTGCAGTTCCTGACCTTAAATGTCTGATATGTTCACTATGATCCATTGTGAATGTTTTATTGGTTTATGACATCAGTAAATCATAGCATTCTGTTTTTAATTACACTTTACACAACGTCTCGACGTTTTCAGAATTGGGGTTATATAACAACATGATTTCCTCACAGATGCAGACTTGTTCACAGCTGAGACCAGAGACTTCTGGCACAAACAGGAAGCAAACATAATTTAATATGAAAGCCTGTTTGCGTCACACGCATCATCTCCTCTGGTTAAACTTACTGTGAAATCATTAGGAGCCAACACGCGGTGAGTCTGGCACTATCAGGTACTGAAATAAAAAATATATATATACATTCTCACACAAGCTGAGCCAGGAACACAAAACAGAGCACACGATATATGTAGAATATTAAACTGTCGATGCTTCGGCACTCGCTTTGAAACCTGACCTACTTCCTTTGTTGGAGGGAGTCTGGCTCACCTTTGCAAAATAAAAACAGGCAAAATACATCCAGAAACAAGCTGTGAAGTTATTCATTCATGAAATACAATTGTAGGCATTGGGAACAATCAAAGGTCCAGGTTGTTTTGCATGTGTTCAGAGTCTGTCATTATCTCTGAGTGGTGTTTACATGGTCGGCTCACCTTTCGGCTCCTCTGTTCATCTGGCTGTAAAGATTTATGATGCTTTCTGCTTAACCTGTTTGAGTTCTGCGGCCATGTCTGTACCTCCGATGGTTTTCAAATGATTTTAAACAAACTCATGTTCAGCTGAGATCCAGAAATATCCAGCTCAAGAAGTCAAAAATATCCCAATTAGAACAGGAACAATCTATTAATTATCCTCAGACAGAATGCTGGCAACAATAAAATGAAAAGCAGAAAGAGGATGAGTATAATTGCTATTGTGGATATTTAATAACTTGCTAATGTTGTATTGATACTTTTTATTTATTGTGCAAGTTTATTGTCTTTGGAATATAGAGCTTTGTAGACATAGGAGAATTTCCCCCTAATCGATAACCGATTTAAATATATTTGATTGACAGAAGTATAAACATGAAAATCACACTTTAAAAAATCTGTATAAATCTGTGAAAGTGGAAGCAGAATCCATTGGTTTGGTGTATTTTGTCAGAAATTAAAACGTAATAAAATATATAATTCTTCTTCTTCTTTCAGCTGCTCCCTTCTTCAGGGATCGCCACAGCGAACTAAGTCACATGAAGACTTGGTGATGATTTTTATGCCAGATGTCCTTCCTGATGCAACCACAGACCACCGAGCTACCACAACTCTGTGTGGAGCAGGGAGCTGCTATCTAGGGTGCCTGGAAGAGCAGATGGTGGGGGTTAAGGGCCTTGCTCAAGGGTTCAGAGTAGGGCACAAGAGGGTGGAGGCAGGTGTGAGTGCTTCACCTATCCCCACGCACATGTTGATGTTGTCGGTACTGGGAGTTGAACCAGCAAGCTTCCAATCACAGGCCCACCTTCTCTAGCCTCTGCGCCACAACTCCCTCACATAATAAAATATATAATTAAAGTTTTGATTTCATATTTGATATATCTTTGCATTGGTGTTAAAAGTCTGAACTTTATTCAAATACTTTGTTTTATTGTTTTAACTATTTAATGTTAAATTCATGTTTAAATATTTGATTCAACCAGCTATTCAGGTGTAGGCATACATCCAGTGATTATTTTCTGTTTTATTACAATTTGAACAACACCTTAGGAGATACAGGTCCTCCTCCAAAAATTAGCATATTGTGATAAAGGTCATTATTATCCATAGTGTAATGATAAAAATGAAACTTTCATATATTTCAGATTCATTGCACACCAACTGAAATATTTCAGGTCTTTAATTGTTTTAATACTGATGATTATGGCATACAGCTCATGAAAACCCAAAATGCCTGTCCCAAAAAATTAGCATATTTCATCCCACCAATGAAAGACAAGTGTTTTTAATACAAAAAACGCCAACCTTCAAATAATCATGTTCAGTTATGCACTCAATACTTGGTCGGGAATCCTTTTGCATGAATGACTGCTTCAGTGCGGCGTGGCATGGAGGCAATCAGCCTGTGGCACTGCTGAGGTGTTATGGAGGCCCAGGATGCTTTGATAGTGGCCTTAAGCTCATCCAGAGTGTTGGGTCTTGCGTCTCTCAACTTTCTCTTCACAATATCCCACAGGTTCTCTATGGGGTTCAGGTCAGGAGAGTTGGCAGGCCGATTGAGCACAGTAATACCATGGTCAGTAAACCATTTACCAGTGGTTTTGGCACTGTGAGCAGGTGCCAGGTCGTGCTGAAAAATGAAATCTTGATCTCCATAAAGCTTTTCAGCAGATGGAAGCATGAAGTGCTCCAAAATCTCCTGATAGCTAGCTGCATTGACCCTGCGCTTGATAAAACACAGTGGACCAACACCAGCACCTGACATGGCACCCCAGACCATCACTGACTGTGGGTGCTTCATACTGGACTTCTGGCATTTTGGCATTTCCTTCTCCCCAGTCTTCCTCCAGACTCTGGCACCTTGATTTCCGAATGACATGCAAAATTTGCTTTCATCCGAAAAAAGTACTTTGGACCACTGAACAACAGTCCAGTGCTGCTTCTCTGTAGCCCAGGTCAGGCGCTTCTGCCGCTGTTTCTGGTTCAAAAGTAGCTTGACCTGGGGAATGCGGCACCTGTAGCCTATTTCCTGCACACGCCTGTGCACGGTGGCTCTGGATGTTTCTACTCCAGACTCAGTCCACTGCTTCCGTAGGTCCCCCAAGGTCTGGAATCGGCCCTTCTCCACAATCCTCCTCAGGGTCCGGTCACCTCTTCTCGTTGTGCAGCGTTTTCTGCCACACTTTTCCCTTCCCACAGACTTCCCACTGAGGTGCCTTGATACAGCACTCTGGGAACAGCCTATTCGTTCAGCAATTTCTTTCTGTGTCTTACCCTCTTGCTTGAGGGTGTCAATGATGGCCTTCTGGACAGCAGTCAGGTCGGCAGTCTTACCCATGATTGCAGTTTTGAGTAATGAACAAGGCTTGGAGTTTTTAAAAGCCTCAGGAATCTTTTGCAGGTGTTTAGAGTTATGTACGTAGTTGATTCAGATGGTTAGGTTAATAGCTTGTTTAGAGAACCTTTTCATGATATGCTAATTTTTTGGGACAGGCATTTTGGGTTTTCATGAGCTGTATGCCATAATCATCAGTATTAAAACAATTAAAGACTTGAAATATTTCAGTTGGTGTGCAATGAATCTGAAATATCTGAAAGTTTCATTTTTATCATTACATTATGGAAAATAATGACCTTTATCACAATATGCTAATTTTTTTAGAAGAACCTGTATTTTGCTAACACACTGACAGGGTTGACACTAGAGTTGCATTCAGCCCAAAATATCCGACCCGGCCCCAGCCCGAATAGCCATCATTTCCAAACCCCACCCGACTCGACGAATTAACAGTAATTACAGGTCTGAACCTCCCGCCCCCCACCCCCCTCTGCCAATTTTTAATTAATCTTTGATTGCTTACATAGTTATTAACAGTCACGGATGCGCGCAACTGAATAAAAAGGGCAGAAGATCGGAGCTGAGGGGGTGTTTGTCCTTTCATGGCCGTCAAAGTGCATTAAATCCCTGCTTCTGCCTGCATTCTGCATTATTCAGACATGGACCCTGCTCTGACATGTCTGCTTTGGGATCTCACCTGTTTGAGTCGTCGGCCACGTGCATCCGTTGAGTGCAGCAGCTGAATGTCCATTTGGGTGATGGATCGTTGCCTGGCAGTATAGTCCCATCTGAAGCTTTACTGAACTTTATTTTAACTCTTTCAAGGCCGGTTAGCTCGTGGTGAAATGGCCGCGTGCAGCTGGGGATTATATGGCAACCCATGTTGCCATTGGATCACCAGCCATGTCTGCTGACGTAATCAAAAGCCAGACACTGATCCACCCGCCCATCCAGCACATTATCACGGCCCGAATTTGGGCCTGGCCGGGCTTCAGGCAGAGTTAGACATGACAGCTCTAGTTTACACTAATAGTAAATGCCAAAGTTGGAATAAAGCTCTCAAGTGCTCAAAGCAAAGTTGGAGTCATGCCAAATTTGAGCTGAGCATCTAAAAAAAACAAGAGTTCAGCAGGTTTTGTGGATTATCAGTGGTGGCCATCTTGAATTGGATTGATTTAAAAAGATATTCAGCTGTTGATTTATTCAACAATTGATTTCTGAGAGTTTAATTAAAACCCACCAATGAGATGAAGCTTCGTAGGATTTCGTTTGTTTTGTTTGTCAAGTACAATAAATATTTGTGAGAAAAGTCCATGAGAACCACATGAGAATAAATATATTCTGTAGAAAAACAAGCTTTGCCGCAACATAATGAAATCATCTTAAAAAGCTGAGTGTTTTTGTTGAACTTGTGAAATAAAAAAAGGGCAGCACATCTGTGATTTACACAGAGATCATATCTGACACTTTTACAACTTTCAGTCCTCGTCCTCTCTGCAGGAGGCGGGTTTTCCGCCGGCAGGGTTTGGTTGATTCTTTATTGATTTGTTGGCGAGGAGGAGGAGGAGGAGGAGAAAGTGAAAGGGGAGTGGAGCGGAGAGAGTGGAGGCGAAATCCCGTTTTGAAGAGGGGAGGGAGCGATGTGACTGTGGGTGTTGGACAGCAGAGGAACCACGCAGCGACAAGAAAAAGTCGGGGAGCGCTCCTGAAATCACGTGCTGTGGATGTACTCACGGGGAGAGAGGGAGTAAAAGTTGTTTTCCTTCTCCTCCTTGCCTCGGCTCCTCCGCCCTGCGTTCCGCGGAGCAGCAGCTGCGTTTTGATGCCCCTGCGCACCCGAGGAGGAGAGGAAGGAGAGAAGTGTGAGGAAGAGGAGGCAGAAACAGAAGCGAGGAAGGCCTGGACACCACCCCGTCTCGCCTTCTGGGAGTCGCTCCACTCTCCCCTCCTGGCCCTGCATGGACGGGGATGGGGAGAGCCGGATGCTGTGGCCGCGGGGCTGAGCGCCTCGCCTCCGCGTCCATGGTGCGCCGCTTCCGGCCACTGCTGCTGCTGATCGCCGCTCTGTGCTGCGGAGCTCACATAGGTAACTTGAACACTGCAAGAAGAAGTGCAACTACACCTTCTGTTTCACACTCCAGCTTCCTCTGTTGACTCCTCGTTAGTTTTAGTCTGCTCCACTTCATAAAAGCTCATTTCGTGTTATTTGTGGGCTCATTGTTGGGCACTAACAATAGCTCTCTCCACAGCGGCAGTGCAGCAGTCTGAGCTCGGATCGAGTTTCTCCTCCTCTCTCCTGGGCCGTCATTCTCCTGTCTGCCCCTTAATGGCTCATGGAGGAGGGGAAGAGAAGGGAAAAGAGGGCGACTAGCTCTCCTCCTGTTTATACACATAACAGACCTATTGAGTCCAAGTTGGAGCAGAAGCTGTCAGTGGGTTGATGACCATAAAAAGTCAAAAAGTGGATAAGACTAAACCCAATGTAGAGGAAAATCCAGCTGGGCTCATTGTTGCATTTAATCTTTATCTTTTCACCAACAGATGCTCGATCAAATGTCTGAAATATAATATTACAACTTCTTTGCTTCTAATTGAACACCACATTTCCCTGTGTTTTCCCACAAATGCATATCCTCTATAGCAGTTTTTATGGTTGTGTTTTTGACTTTCTTTCTGTGCAGGGGGGTCGGCTGTAGTGGTGGCTTTACACCTCCTGTAATTAGTTGACCAGGACAAAACCCACCTCTGCACACACAGCCATGTGCACTCTCTCAGCTCCTATATACTTCCACACGTGCGTCACCTGGAAAGAATTTGCATTATTGTTTAGTTTGCTGAGGCAAACCGAGAGTTGTATTTGCTGAAGTGTGTCATACGTTTCGCGTTTTTAAAACAGTTTGTCAACAGCTGTCAGCCCCGCATGTTTAGACATGAATGGCAAGGAGTGTCTGGATCGAGGAGCATTGTTCGCAGTCAAGTGTGCGCTGTATGTTGAGCTTTGCGTTGGTGTGATCTGAGCTCAGAGTGTGAGAGAGTGCACACAACAAGGTGATCAATAAGCACTTCACGAGCCATTCCCTCGGCTGAGAGATGATCCCAGCGGATCCTTTTCTGATCTGCGGAGATTAGAAAAGTTGGAGGGAGCCTGGCTAGGAGACAAAGAACCACTAAGAAGAAGAAAAACAACTCTGAGAGAATCAGATCTTTTGACCTCTGTTTGATGGTAAAGAAGGTGCCTCCGGATGCAGGGGGAGAGGGGGCGAAGAGGCTGAAATTAGACCAGAAAAGCTGCTGAAAGTCTGAAAGGAGGATGGAGAGAAAAGGGTTGAATTTTGCAGGCAGTGCTGAATCCCTTTGTGTCTCCTTTAGAGACGCGAGCCAATAATACTGCATTAGTTCCACACAAGAAGACCTCCTTATTCTGCTCTTAATAATCTGAAAATCTGTTGATTCTCTTTTCATGTCTTGTTTAGTATTCACCACCTCAACGCCATTTATCATAAATTCCTTATTTATATGCAGAGATTAGATTTTCCTTTCACAGAACAGCTCTGCATGCTCAAAAGATCATCGGCATCCTTGGGGAACAAAAATAAAAGAGTTGTGCTTTGGCATTTAGATCGTCAGAGCACAATTAATCAGCGCACAAAAAGTCCTCTTTCTTTGACAGACCTGCAGAAAGTTATCGCAGTGCATCTTTAAAAGTCAGAAGTTTGAGCTTGAGTCCTTCCGTTACAAGGTCAGCTTTCTTCTTGCTCAGAAAATGTTATTGATGAGTTCTTTAGTGTGTTTTAGTGCAGCCCACCAGGATCCTAAAGCCTTCAGAACCAGAATAAACTTAGTCCAACATGACTGGAAGGAGTTTTTGGGTGCTGCAGGCCTGGTAGGAGGAGAAGAATGATGCATTCAGAGTGCCAGTCTGCAGACACAATGTAACCTCAGTGCTCAGACAGTCTGTGCAGGGGTCAGCCTGTGTGTGTGTGTGTGTGTGTGTATCTGTGGGCTAATGTCATTTAACAGGCAGGGGCAAGATTCTGTAGCTTGGCGTAAGTTGGGGGTCCTCGTCTTGCGCCCTGATTGTTCAAACTGGAGCAGCACTGCCCCCGTATGGTGGTGCCCAGTTCCTCTGTGAGTCCAGGAACAGGGGTGTGCTGTTGGCTTAGTTTTGCTCATTTGTTGGAGAATCTGTTGATTTTTATTTTATTTTTTTAAAGCATGCACCTTCTGCTTTTACTTGGACATGATCACCCTCTGAAGATTTTTGATTGCTGCTTGAGTTTGTGTGCAGCCACACACACACACACACACACACACTGCAGAGCCTTTCTATCTGGACTAATCTAATAGCAGCATGCTGTGACTGATGCATTAGGTCTGGTCTAATCTCTCTCTGGCTCTAACCTCTGCTTCTCTCTGATGATCAGCGATACAAAAGGCTGTTTTGACCCAAGTTCCTCTCAGAAATGTAGAAACAGATAAAGGTTCACAGACTGTTTTAAACTGAGAAATCTGTTTGTGATAGGTATGATATTTTTACATTACGCTGCTGAGCATTACAAACTCTCGTTGATGTGCTACACTTCACATAATCAGGGTTGGTTTGTAAGTGTAACCTTTCCCCTCTAACTAAAGTTGTGTTTTATGTGCTTCTTGTCTACAGTATCATTTCACTCCTTGTGGGAAAAAACATGCTTCATCTTTCCTGTCTGACTGCTCTTTGGTTTATTAGTCTTCAACTTTATTACACTCACAAAGCGGCACTGATTGATCAAGAATTGGCAACTAGTTAGAATTTTTTTGTAGTTTTATTAGCTCGAACAGGCTGATACCGTTGTGAGATTAAGATCAAAGACAGCTATTCTCTCACAGTAACCTTATCTGTCTCGTATGAGAACTTTCCACTTCCGAGTAAGATCCAGCTTTTAATCAGGTTCAAACCTGATATGTCATACATCTGAGGTTACATAACTGTAATTAATTAGCTTCATACCAGGTTGTTTGACCCGGCGTTTGTGCTTTTTTTTTTTCCAGGTCAGTGCCAGGTGGCCACCACTCAGTGTCGAATCCAGAAGTGCACCACTGATTTCGTCTCCCTGACCTCCCACCTGACGCCTGCCGTGGATGGCTTTCACACTGAGTTCTGCAAGGCTTTACGCGCCTACTCAGCCTGCACCCAGAAGACAGCCAAGGCCTGCCGGGGAAACCTGGTCTTCCACTCAGCTGTGCTGGGCATCTCGGACCTCATGAGCCAGAGGAACTGTTCCAGAGACGGGCCAACGTCTTCCACGCACCCCGAGATCCACCCTGAACCCTGCAACTACCACAGCCGTACCCAGCATGCCCACACACACTCCCACGGGCACACACACTCACACTCTCACAGCCATGGCCACGGCCACTCTCAGCCTGAGTACTACTTCTGTGGGTTGTTTGGGGACCCGCACCTAAGAACATTCAAGGACAGTTTTCAGACTTGTAAGGTGGAGGGGGCGTGGCCTCTGATTGATAATCACTACCTGTTGGTGCAGGTCACTAACGTTCCTGTGGTTCCCGGCTCCAGTGCCACAGCCACCAATAAGGTGAGAAAACAAAAGGATTATATGGATTTAATTTGGCAAAGGGATAATTCAGATCTTTTGAAATAAAGTTTTGTGAAAAGGTTAAAAACAATCAATATCTTACCTGTTACAGACTTTGACAGTTAAATATTCCAGTACATGTTTAATGTCCTGCTCTCCACGTAAATGAACACAACATTGTCTTTAGTACAGTAGTCCCTCGCTACTTCGCAGGTCATTTATTGCGGACTTGCTCTATCGCAATTTTTCAAAATAAGATTGTACATGACATGACTGATTGATGCATGAGCCGCACGATCGGCATAGAATTTTTATTTAAAATAAATTGTTTGAACTTATTTAGCACCTCCTGCACATTTGTGCAGCCCATGCTGCAGGATAAACTTCCTGTTGCAGCTGATCAGCTGTTCTCCGTGCAGAGAGTAGAAGTGGGCTTGTCCAAGACCACTTGCTGGTGGCTGAGAGCAGTGGAGGCAGGGAGTTTAAGTCATGACATTCGGTGCTCTTTTAGAGAATTTAGATGTATATCTATCTGTCTGTCCGTCCGTCCGTCCGTCCGTCCGTCCGTCCGTCCGTCCGTCCGTCCGT